AAAAGCCTCAATCTGTGTAAGCCCTGCCCAGCAATAACAAAAAGATCTCTGTGTTATCAATCTGTGCTCAGGACAATCCCAAAGCAGCCCCTTACCAACCACTGGGAAGAAAATCAATGCCACCCCAGCCCACATGGTCAAATAAAGCCTGACAATGCCAGGGATCTGTAAAACCTTCCCACCAAAAAATGCATTTGCTGAGGGCAGAGAACACCAATGACAGTGATAGAGAGATCAAATCACCCATAAGAACAACACACATGGCTTAAACACATTCTGTGATTGGATCACCATGACCAGGTACCAACAAAAATGACAAAAATATCCAAGGGCATGGTTTGGATTGTAAACCTTTATTTTTTATTTTCACAGCATCAATACCAATTCTTTGCCAGGTGTCCAAAGCAATCCAGACAGAGATCTAAAGCTGAATACAAATCTGACAAATATTAACATGAGCATGTTTCTTCTTCTGAGCAGCCTCATCTGAATTCTACAGATATTACCAGCACCAAAAGAGCTGACAAACTGACAAAAATCAAATGAAAGGAGAAGCTGGAGGGGAGCTCTCTCTTCTAGGTAAGAATAAGGGAAAAAACCATCTTGAGAGGAACAGTTTGCATCAAAATAACTGATTTCAAACACACAAGGCAACTACCTTGCAAGGCTGATGTGTATTCACTAAACTGCACACTTGAGCTGCAGATTATCTGTAGAACTCCAGAGGAAATACGATTTTTCTCTCTACATTTCTTATTCAGTGACCAAAATTACTTGGTGATCCGTGATTCATTAAGGGATTTTTCCCTTTCCCCAAAGGACACAAAACTGCCTGAAGCCATCACAGTATCTTAAAATAAAAGTTTCTGCAATGTAAGACTTTAGGATGTGTCCATACCTCTGAATCAGATACAACATCCACATCATTTCCAACTGAGTCAATGAAGTCATAGGCCATCCCAAAGCTATTAAAAAAAAAAAATCATGAAAATTAAGACAGTTCCAGTGTGACATTACAGACCTGGCTTTTATATCAATTAAATCTTTGAATGGCTTCATAAAATAAGAAAAAAAATTACCCAGCTAAACATCCCCTAGTGTAATCAGACTTAAAATTACCAAAGTAATTTCATCTTCATATTCTCCACTTTTTTCAAATATATCTTTGAAAGTGCTTAGATCTAATTCCAGGACATTCTATAACACTTAAAGTTTTGTGGAAATTAAGAAAAAATTGAGAAAATGAAGCTGAAAATAAGAGTTCTTCAAGGAGTTTCTCTTCAAGGCATTAAGCATATTAAAGACTTTAATTTTAGTAGCTGTAATTGAATTTTACCCCTTATTCACATTTTCCAGAACTACCCTACATGTTGTAACAGACACATTGTCTCTTCCTCCACCCTCGTTAAGGAAATTACAAGCTGGAATATTTCAATGTACAGATCATTCTTTAAAACAAATCCAGATAGCACTAAAATCCAAAACACACACGAAGTGCAAGTTATACTTTTGTTATCAGCTTTTTAATACTGACACAAGAGAAAGAGATTGAACTGCCAGCCTGTATTTGACAATCAGAGTATCTAAAATAAACATGAAAAATTCACAAAGCCCTGAAAAATATGTTACTCTGCCCTGAAAAATGCACCTCCTAAAACAGATAATGAGGATATAAACACAGACCTTGAACAAACTGTTAAATTTCACTGACTGACTGACTTGGTGTGAATTTGCTTGTTCAGCACAGGATTTGAGCCTCCTGTTTATGAACACTCTGAACTCAACTCATTCAACAATTCAGCAAACATCCACACTGAAAGGCAACACTGCTGCTTGGGTGTGCCCCTCATTTCACCCACAGTGTGACAGAAACATGAAATCCTGATATAACCATGAAATTTCATTTGTATTAGTCAGGTCCAGTTTCTAAAGGTCCAGCAGAGCCATAGATTGGTTTCCAAGGGGAACCAACCACAAGTCCCATTTCACCTGTTATCAAAGGCAGAAGGGCTGGCTGAACCAGTCCAGTTTGATCTGGGCCAACCAGGGAGGAACAAAAAGTCAGTGGGACTGTCTGAGGCAAGGTGTCAACATGCACGTGAACCAATAAACCAAACCATCTCTGTGTGCTATGTAAATAATCAACATCAGCAATCATTTACTAATGAGACAAGATCAGACCATAGAGACAACAACTCAAGATAAAAAAGTAGAGGGAGAAGGGTTGAGACAAAGCAATATGAAGTTGCTATGGTAAAACCTGTACTTTCTACTTTAAATGACACAGGATCCATATTCACAATCAGAATTACTCTTAAAGGCCTGGGATAAAACAGGGGCTGCTGTTCTTTACCTTGAGAAGGGTTTACTCTTTTTGCTGTTGCCCAGAATGGTTGTCCCTGCAGGTCCCAGCTTGGCACTTTCCCGTAGCCAGTTGGCAGGAGGCAGCTTCAGGTCTGTTTTCTCCTGCAGGCGGGCAAAGGCTGCCTGAGGAGGGGCTGAGGAGTATTTCACCACAGCACAGCTCTTCACCTCATTGCCTCCAAGGAACAGCACTGAGCCCTGCTTTCCAGAGAGAAATTAAACCTTCTGCTTAATAGCTGGCAATTAAAACCATCAGGCTTGTTCTGTGATAAGCTATTTTTAAGGCTAACTGAGCAAAATCCAGTCCTATATTCACTTACTTTTCCCCAGCACATACAGTTTCCCAGTCATCCCAATTCCAATTCATGTCAAGCATAAGCTTCACTTTAGGAATTATCACAGAATCATTTAGGTTGGAAAAGACTTCCAAGATTATCAAGTCCAATCTGTGATGGACCACTGAACAACACATCCAGTCCTTCCTTGGACACCTCCAGGGATGGGGACTCACACAGTCTATTCCAATGCTTGACAACCATTTCCATGAAGGAATTCTTCCTGGTGTCCACCCTGAGGCCGTTCCCTCTGCTCCTGTCCCTGTTCCTTGGAGCAGAGCCCGATCCCCCCGGCTGTCCCCTCCTGGCAGGAGCTGTGCAGAGACACAGGGGCCCCCCTGATCCCCCTTTTCTCCAGCTGAGCCCCTTCCCAGCTCCCTCAGCCCCTCCTGGGGCTCCGATCCTTCCCCAGCTCGGCTCCCTTCCCTGCACACACTCCAGCCCCTCAATGTCTTTCCTGACATAAAGCCCCAGAACCAAGCCCAGAATGTGAGGCTGGACTCAGCAATGGGACACACAGGGGGACAACCCCTGTGCTGGTCCTGTGGCCACACTGTGGCCGATCCAAGCAGATGACAGTGGCCTTTTTGCCCACCTGAGACACAAGAATGAACTGCCACTAAGGTCAGCTGCCCACACAACACACAATCAGCCAGAAAGGCTAAAACGAACACGACTCCTCCCACTGAAGTTTGTGAAAGTAGGTGGTTATTAACACCAAGTGTTCCCCAACACCAACATTAAAGCCAAACAGGCTTCTACCTTATTATTATTAAATAATAATAAATTAAATAAGTCCCGTGTTTGCCTATTTCTTTTCAAACACGCAGCTGTCACCCGTGTGAGAGGAGCTTTGAACTAACACATGTCGCGGGAAAAACAGCTCCACAGGACACCACTTACGTAAATACAATGCACTTAAGCATAACAACAGCAACACCGCTCGCAATTAACGCTTAATCATAATGAGCGTGTACCCTACAGCACTCCGGCCCTGACAAACTGGAAAGAGGATCAAAAACACCGCCTCAATTAAAACACCACTAGGGGATGTGTCTGTAGGCACCGCTCGACCCCCCTCAGCCCCTCTACCTCACCCAGCACGGCCCCCACTCAGCGCCGCTCACCTGCTTGGGCTCCTCGGCGTCTCCCCTCAGCGGGGCAGCGGCGCCCGCGCCGCAGGGCTCCTCCATGGTCGGGGAATGGTCCGGGAATGCAGCGGGAATGGAGGGGAATGGAACCGGGAATGGAACCGGGAAGGGGCGGCGGGAGCGGAGCCGCTTCCCGGGGGCGTCCGGCCGGGAACTGCCGCCTCTCGCGAGACTTTTCGAGAAGGCGCGGGAAGGGCGGGCTCGGAGGGCGGCGCCGTGAGGGGCGGGTGTGGCGCTCTCAGCCGGGTCAGGGAGGCTTTGAGGTCGGAAAAACACATGGCTAATCTGTGAGCGATCCCTGCTTTGTCAATTACACCGAAGCACGGAATGTCACGCCAGTCGTTCCTTAAGCACCTCCAGGGATGGGATTCCACTACCTCCCTTGGCAGCCCCTTCCAATTCTTGGCCACCCTTTCCATGAATAAATTTTCCCGAATCTCCCATATAGATCTCCCTTGGCACAGCTTGAGGCCATTCACAGCTGAGCCAGAACGTTCCCCCGAGCCTCCCTTTCTCCAGGCTTGTCTGACTTTCCTTGAGAACCGGGACCAAAATGAAACAAGTGAAAACTTGGTCGTGGGGTACCTCAGCATGGGAGAGGATTGAAAATTGCAGTGTCCTGCCCTCTGTACACTGAGTTCAACCAAAGCTAAGCTCATATGGCTTTAGTAAGCAAGTAATTCCTAAATAGTGCCCATGGGATTTTTAATATTTATTATTTTCCGTGTAGATTGTATTCTTCCTTCTCTAAACCACAAGAAGCAGTACGCTTCCTGATTGGTCAGGGAGTACAAATGCTGATTGCCTCTTAAATTACATCTATATTTATAGCCACATATACCTTTTAATATATATATACACACACACACATAGATGTAGATCATGGAATCACAGAATAGTTTGGGCTGGAAGGGAATTTAAATATCATCCAGTTCTGCCTCAGCCATGGGCTGCACCTCCTCACCCTCCCAGGGAACAATTTCTTCCCAATATCCAATCTAAACCTAGTTTCTGTTAGTTTGAAGAAAAAAAGAACACAAGTGTCATCTTCTTTCCAGTCTGTCATGGCCAAGGAGGCCAAGTTTGTGCTAAAGTGGCCAAGTGTGCTGCAGTTAAATAGTTGGGATGTTTCCAAGACAGCGCTTAAACTCAAATGAAAAAAAATCCTTAGGACGCAGCAGGGTTTTCTGTAATATTGGGCGTGTGTTTCAATTAAAATGTGTGTATGTGGAAAGCCATTTTCAAAAGAGCCGGAAGTTACATCTTAAAAATTCTTTCTCTAACATCCTTTGGGTTTTCCTCAAAACCAGCTCTCCCTTTCCCCACCCATTCCCATTCAGGCAGTAAAGTGTCACTGAAGCGATTGTGCAGAACTGATTTGTTTCCAACATTCAATCCTTTGAGGAGCTGTAATTCCCCTCTCCCCTGCAGCAGGGGAGCGCCAGCAGCGCTGCCCGGGGTTGTGTGGAGCTCCGGGAGCGCTCTGAGGTCACAGGGGAGGAGGTTCCACGGCCCGGCCGCCCCCCGAGCGCGTCTCCAGGGAACCGCGGTGGCGCTGGCAGAGTGGCCGCAGCGGCAGTGACATCGAGCCATGGCTAAGGACGGGTCAGAGCACAGCGGGGGGCACAGTAGCGACTGGGTAAGGGCCGAGCAGGAGCCCCCGTGTCCCCCACAGGGCTTCTGATCCCTAAACTCTCAGAAAAAGCGCCGTGCTGAGGGTGACTTTGTCCTTCAGTCAGGAATGAGTCTTCCCGTTCCTGAGGTTTACGAGGAAGGCGTCCTAGGTATTCAGTGTGCAAAAGTTCTGGCTTGTTAACCAACCCTGGCTGGATTTCCCCCCCCCTGCCGCCCAGTTTTCCAGCAATGCTGGAGGTCTCATATTTGATAGTTAGCCCTGGTTGATCTTCCTTCTCTTCTGGAGAGCTCCAGCCAAGGTTTGCCTCAGTTCTCGCCTCCAGGAGAACACTCTGACCCCATCAGAAACGCTGGGCTGGGACATCTTGGTATTCCAGGGCACTGTGACACTGCTGGCACCGGCTGCTCCTCCTCTCTGAGCCCTTTGGCCTGATGTTGGGTTGGGCTGTTCCCAAAAGTTTTGTGCTTTCAAACTTGTGCTACAGCAGGAGTAGCATGGGGGAAGGGGGGTTAGGAGGTCGTTGTTTTCCTTGGTGGTTATTGCTGTGTAAACAGTTTTCAGAAAGTTCCTGGACATTCTCGTCTTAAAGATTCCTAAAATTCTTGTCTGGTTGTTTTATCTACGTTTGAACGTCTTTATGGTAGGGTTTGTGTTGTGTGTGTGGGAGACTCCTCATTTTTCCAGACGCCACTAGGTGCTGCTGCAATCCAAGCAATAAAAAATAAACGGGAAAATACCATTATGCTCACATTTCTGATCAGATTTAATTGTTATTTGGGTTTGGTTGTTGGGTGTTTTTTTTTTTTTTTTTTCCAGTTGGCTTTTATTTTAAAGGCTCATAATCTTCATTATTTTCTAGTTCACTCACGATGGACTGGAGCTGGGCGAGCTGGAATCAGTAACAAGCTCTTCACTAAAGCATGTCCTGAACTCCGTAGCCGCTGTGGGCCAGGAACACAGAATGCCGCTGCAGTACAAAGCTCGGGTGCAGGTGAGTTCCTGTGCAGCACAGCCCATTTTCGGAGCTCTTTTGCGACTTGTCACTCGCTAAATTGTGAGTAAGAGCAGCGCTCGGGGTCGTTAGCGGAGCAGTCACAGCGGGCTGGCAGACTTTGTGCCTCAGGGGATGCCGTGATTGCTGCCTGTGCTGCGGAAGAAACATATTTCCCTGTTACTCACTCATAATTTTAGTAGCTCCGAGTCCTGCTGTATTACTGCTGATTTTCTCGTTTATTATTGAGACACCGAATACATTATGATCAATCTCAGCCCACAGCCCGTGTGTAAAGAAGGTTTAATGGAAATTTGATCAGCTGTTTGGCAATGAATGTTGGAAATTCAGTATATTCACACGAAGGAGTGTTCTTTTTGATCCTTAAAAAGTTAGAAGCTCCTCATTTCAAACATTTTAAAAATGGGATTTGTTAAAAAATTTTATGATGAAAGGAAATACAGTCTTTTTAAAAATCACAAGTATTTAAAAAGTTGCAGTGCTTGTAAGCACCTTTTCATGTCCTTATTTCCTCATCACTGGGCTTTGCTTTACCCATCTGCTTTGGGCACAGAACATTTTCTATTTTCTGTAAGCACAGCAATTACAGTGGGTTCATTTCACTGGTTTTGCTATAGTGAAGGGCAGAAATGAAGGGCTTGGAAGGAATATTTAAAAGGGAAGCTTGGGACTATGAGAAGGAGATTATACTGTAACATGAGTATACACTGTGTTATACACTGTGTTAATATTACATCCACCTTTCTGTGGAACATCTGGCCTTAGCCACTGCCTGAAAAGGGTAGCTTTTATCCACTGGTAAATATACCTAAAAAAAGGAAGAGAATCTGCCTAGTAAACAATTTATCCTGAGATCTGACCATGGAGCTGATCCTGTGCAGGCACATTTTGTGTCTGGTGAATCTTCTTGCTGGATCAGGCCTCCAGTCACACTGATCTTTAGAACTCATTCAGGTTCCCCTATTCTTGAAACACTTCTTTTAGACTGTGTTACATTAAAACTTTGGGATATTACACTGATAACATTTAGAAAGTCAGCTATGTTCAGTATTTCTAAAATAGCACTTTTTGCAGTTGTCTTTTTTTTCTTCTGAAACTCTGGTTTCATTTAGAGACTGGATGAACACCATGTTAAAGAATGAGATTATAAATTAGTTAAGCAATTAATACCTCTTCAACTTCCCCTGCAACAAGCAGTGTCCATGACATTCAGTGCATAAATCACAGACTAATTCAGTATTGAGGTCCCTTTTGTAGTTTATTTTAATTAGCTCTAGGCCTACTCTAAATCAAGCAAGGCAATCCAATATATCCTGACATATATCTAGCATTTTGCTGCTTTGCAGACAGAATGTATAATTTCTTACTTGAAAATTTGCACTTTTATATTAATCATGTATATATTCAGCAAATCCTCCTGGTCATTTTATTAATAAAAAATTAAAAGTCCACATTACCCCTATAAAATCATGTTGAGGTGAATATTTAACACAGGAATATGACTTCTGTGCTAGAACAAAGGCAGCTGTAATCTCACAATATAAGAACAAAGACTAATAGACTCCAAACAGAGTTTAAAATTCTTTCTTTTTTTGCTATAATTTCTTTTTTTGCAGAAAGCAGGAAACAACAATTTCCCATTCTCTTCTCATGACAACAGACATGACATATGCAATGCAGTCGAGTATTTTGACCTGGTGAGTACCCAGCACTGAGGCAAATCAAGCAACTTCAGATCTATTGGTCTGCCAGAGATTAAACACAGCATCTTTTCTGTCCCCTAAAAAAGAAAAAAAAAAAAAAAAGAAAAAAAAAAAAAAGAAAAAGAGAAAATCGATGCTAAAACTGTGAGAAGAAAAAAATGTAAATAGCAAAGAAAAATGCACTTTTTATTAGTAGACGGCTGGAACATCTCTGGGACTGTCATTGAGAATGGTATGATTCAAAGAGAAGCAAAAAACCATGATTTGGGTCTCTAACATTTTCTAATATTTTCTAATATTCCTGTTTTGGTTTTGTACCCAGTTAAATGTCCTGTTAGTCTGCTCTAAGTGATTTGCCTTGCAATGAATTTTTGTAGATATCTCAGGAACTTCTAATTTGCAGTCCCAAATATTCGGACTCATCTTTATCATAAATTTAAGCAAAATCCATAGGATACCCACAAGATATCTCAAAAACTAATTCTTTGGATTCTTTACAATACACCTGTTTAAATTTATGCTGCAGAAGCCTCAACTTTGACTAGAATTAAATTTTTTTGGGCTTTTCTCTGTGGGCAACAGTTTCATGTTCTTCCATTCCCCTTAGATTGTTGGTATTATTCCAGGCAGCCAAAGAAATAGTGCAGTTCACAGGGTAATGAGTAAAGGAGGAATCAGTGAATTGTGATATAGAGTGTTTGTCTGATTTTGGGCTCTGTCAGGCCTAGACTTTTTAGAATTCATTATTCACTGAGTAACCTCAATTTCTGTGCACTTTGGGCAGTGTCTCATTGTTGTACAGATACCGATCAACCATAATTCCAGCTAAATT